AATGCTAGTTGGTTGTTTGACTCCTGTTCCATTGTGAACTTGATGTCATTGAAGACGTTGTTGATCAATTTGTATGTGTTTTCCAGTTCATCCTTTTTGACGATGACGAAGGTGTCGTCTACGTAGCGAATCCAAATTTTTGGCTTGATCACTGGTAATATCGTGGCTTCTAGTCTTTGCATCACTGCTTCTGCAATCAGTCCTGATATTGGCGATCCCATTGGTGTCCCTTTTGTTTGTTTGTAGATTTTGTTGTTGAATTGGAAATATGTTGTTAGGCATAAATCGATGAGCTCCAGTAGACTTTGAATTTGAAGCGTCGTGTATTTGGTGAGATTTGTGTCGTTGTTGAGTAGCAGGGATATAGTTTCTTTTGCTAACTGTGGTTCAATTGAGGTGAACAGTGCTGTTACGTCGAAGGATATCATGAGTTCGTCGTTGTTGATTTGAATGTCCTTAATTTGGTCCAAGAATTGTGTTGGGGATTTGATGGAGTGTTTGGCTGAATCTACTAGATGTCTCAGTATTCGTGAAATTTCTTTTGACAAATTGTACGTTGGCGTTCCAGGGAGTGCTACTATTGGACGTAGTGGAATGTTCGGTTTGTGTATTTTGGGCCTGCCGTAGAATCGAGGGAGTACTGGTCCACTGGATTTCATTCTCCATTGGTCTTGTTTTGTTATTTCTCCTGCTTTGACTAGCTTGTTTAAAGTCTTTGAGATTTGGTTGTCTAATTTTTTGACGGGATTTGTGTCCATCAGTTTGTATGTGCTCTTATCTTTGAGTAGTTCTTCGGCTTTGTTGACGTATTCTTCTTTGTCCATGATTACTGTGGTGCGTCCTTTGTCCGCTGGTATTATGACAATATCCTTTCTATTTCTGAGTTCTTTCAAGGCCTTTTGTTCTTGTGGAGTCAGTTGGTTGTTTTCTTTCACCTGTTGAGTTATCGGTACTATAGTTTGCCTTATTTCCTGTTGTGTTTCTTCACTGATTCCGGAAGTTTTGAGTGATGACTCTAGTGCTGCGAAGAACTCCAGCTTTGAGGCATCGCTTGTATTGTAGTTTAATCCTTTTTGGAGCAGCTGTTCTTCCGTATTTGTTAGTGGTTGTTTTGACAGATTGATCACGCAGTTGTTTGTGTTTTCTTCCATGGGTGGTTTGGAGATCTTGATTAGTTTTTTCTTTAAGGTGTTTCTTCTTTGTTCTCTATGTCGTTTGCATGATATCTCGATGGCTGTTGTCACGATGTCTAAATGTTCTGATGTGAGCATCCTTTGTAGCTTTATCTTTTGGTCTTCTATGACGTGCTGGTATTTGCGGATCCTGTAGTGTGCATCCGTTATCATTAGGTGTACCATTTTTCTTCCACTTTGCTCAGCTATTCTCCATCCTAGTGGGCAGTTGATTGGAGGTCTATATCTTACACTTGTTGGTAGAACATGCTGGCGAAGACACTCATGGAGAAAATATAGTTGTTCTCGAGTGGAAGCCTGCCTTTTGGCGAAATTCTCCCATTTTCGAACAACGAGAAGCGTATTACGCTCATATGATTTTGAGATGGTGGAGAAGATTTGTAGCTCAGGTGGATGATTCTGATGGAGTTTTGTTCTCTGAGCTGGATGGTTTGGTCGTGGAGCTTTCATCGTTCTTCTGAACGACATCATCAGCACAAACTTCAGATAGAAGTGAAGTGTTCGATTTTCTCCTTATGTGTTTCACAGCTTGTTCTGTGCACCTCGATGTTGATTGGTTCTTGTTGACCTTAAATTTATCATTGTTCACTTCTTTGTTTTGGTTGTGTCTCCCATTGTTTTGATTTTTGTTCTTATATATGCATGATTTTCCTGATTGGTTGATAAATTGGGTTGATTTCAATATGTTTGTTGATTGCTGATTGACCTGAGTGCCAGGCTTCTAGAAATTCTCTGGTGTTTTTGGAGTTTCCTCTGTCTAAGATTTCTACATTTTCCCAATCGAATGAGTGTCCGTAGTTATCCACGTGTATTGAAATAAGTGAAGAGATATCATGGCGTTTGACTGCTAATTGATGTTCATGTAGGCGTAGGTGGAGGGGACGTCCGCTTTGTCCGATGTAGTGTTTGTCGCAGTTGGTACAATTTATTTTGTAGATAATGTTTGATTTGTTCTCCTTTGTTATTTCATCTTTTGGTTTGCATAAGATTGATTGTAGTGATTTTGTTGGTTTGTGTGCCACACCTATCCCGAAGGTTTTCAGCAGTCTCGTTGCAGTTTCTGATATTCCTTGTATGTACGGTAGGGTGATCCTTTTACTGATTTTTGTGCTTGACTTGGGTTGTGATGCTGTGTGCCGTTGGTGCTTTTTGATGAAGTTGATTGGGTAGCCGTTCTTTTGAAATATGTCCTTCAGGTATTTCTCTTCATTTCTTCGTGCTGCCAGTGTGCTGCAGTGTGTCCTCGCCCTCTTGAACAGTGTGTGTACGCAGTTGATTTTGTGAGCCCTTGGGTTGTTGCTGTTGTAGTTGAGAATTTGATCTGTATGGGTTGGTTTCCTATGTACTTGAGTTTCCAGTTTTCCTGTATCAGTTCTAGTGATCAATATATCCAAAAATGCTAGTTGGTTGTTTGACTCCTGTTCCATTGTGAACTTGATGTCATTGAAGACGTTGTTGATCAATTTGTATGTGTTTTCCAGTTCATCCTTTTTGACGATGACGAAGGTGTCGTCTACGTAGCGAATCCAAATTTTTGGCTTGATCACTGGTAATATCGTGGCTTCTAGTCTTTGCATCACTGCTTCGTAGACGACACCTTCGTCATCGTGAGAAAGGATGAACTGGAAAACACATACAAATTGATCAACAACGTCTTCAATGACATCAAGTTCACAATGGAACAGGAGTCAAACAACCAACTAGCATTTTTGGATATATTGATCACTAGAACTGATACAGGAAAACTGGAAACTCAAGTATATAGGAAACCAACCCATACAGATCAAATTCTCAACTACAACAGCAACAACCCAAGGGCTCACAAAATCAACTGCGTACACACACTGTTCAAGAGGGCGAGGACACACTGCAGCACACTGGCAGCACGAAGAAATGAAGAGAAATACCTGAAGGACATATTTCAAAAGAACGGCTACCCAATCAACTTCATCAAAAAGCACCAACGGCACACAGCATCACAACCCAAGTCAAGCACAAAAATCAGTAAAAGGATCACCCTACCGTACATACAAGGAATATCAGAAACTGCAACGAGACTGCTGAAAACCTTCGGGATAGGTGTGGCACACAAACCAACAAAATCACTACAATCAATCTTATGCAAACCAAAAGATGAAATAACAAAGGAGAACAAATCAAACATTATCTACAAAATAAATTGTACCAACTGCGACAAACACTACATCGGACAAAGCGGACGTCCCCTCCACCTACGCCTACATGAACATCAATTAGCAGTCAAACGCCATGATATCTCTTCACTTATTTCAATACACGTGGATAACTACGGACACTCATTCGATTGGGAAAATGTAGAAATCTTAGACAGAGGAAACTCCAAAAACACCAGAGAATTTCTAGAAGCCTGGCACTCAGGTCAATCAGCAATCAACAAACATATTGAAATCAATCCAATTTATCAACCAATCAGGAAAATCATGCATATATATAAGAACAAAAATCAAAACAATGGGAGACACAACCAAAACAAAGAAGTGAACAATGATAAATTTAAGGTCAACAAGAACCAATCAACATCGAGGTGCACAGAACAAGCTGTGAAACACATAAGGAGAAAATCGAACACTTCACTTCTATCTGAAGTTTGTGCTGATGATGTCGTTCAGAAGAACGATGAAAGCTCCACGACCAAACCATCCAGCTCAGAGAACAAAACTCCATCAAAAGACCTAATCCTAAATTTGTAGATTTGTCATGATATAACTGCCTAATCTATAAGATCTTACGTGGAAGTCACACCATCGACTACACCAACTCACTGTATCGTATCAATTACCAATACATGATGTAGAACAAGGTTAGGCTAGAGAAAGAACAATATATTTAATATGAATAGAAGATATAAAGTAACATTGAGATGGACCACGCCTGCATGGACGAGCCATGCCATCCGATCAAACCCAGTCCATTCAATTCATTGTTCGCGCCTTCTCCATTGTTAGGTATTTCTCCGCGTGAAATATTGAATATCTATTTTCTGAGTAGTCTCGTGTTCACAGCTTTGTGGATTGTGTGGCTATTGTCCAATGCCACTACAGACGTATAGCTGGTCAGCAGAAATTAATTCTAGCATGTGTAGTGATGCAATTAAATAACCGCGACTATTCATTTAGCCACACAATAAGTAAAATCGTATAATCTAAATTAATGGATTATAAAGATCTAGGAGCCATAATAAGTAACGACCCCAGAATCACATGTAACTGTTGAGTTAAGGCTGCTAAAGGCTCCAGGTCTTATGGTTTATCCTTAAGCCATTTGATTTCTTGAATGAATAAATATCTAGGGTATTATATCTGACTTTTGTGAGGTCGCATTCATGTAGCAATTCCCTGTTCCATATATGAAGCGGATATGCTGTGACTATTTCAATGGCGAGGGGTCAAAATGGTGAGTAGTCTCTCAGTGCCTTCTCTCAAAAAGGAAAATTGAGACGTCTCAACCTATTTCCGACAACATATCACATGTTACGAGTTGATTTAATGCTGGCTTACCGTATACGGAATGATGATTTTCGTATGAATGTCCTATCTTTTTCTTCCATCTGGCGCTGGTCACCTAACGGACGTCCTAAGAAATTTCAGAAACCGAGATACAATCGTTTGCGTCTGGAGTTCATTTCGGGGATTCTCTGAGAAAACATGTAATATCAGCACCTTCTGCTGATAAATTCAAAGCAAGACTGAATCTTCACGGCACTAAAAACTTCAATGATTAATATATGTCAATTGGCTTTTTATTCCTTAACTCAATGAAACCATTTAACGGACCCGTTGACCTTGTTGCAAATCGCGGTTGTTGTGGTAATTGTGATTGTCATGTTTTACATTTCTTTTCTGTGATGTCTGACACTGTTTATCAATTAAACTAAGACTTTATAAAAACAACGCCGTATTTCCTATAGTTTCATTATTAGCTTCAATCCTGTCATGTTCACTTGGTCCTAACTTTCGGTTTTATACTTGATTACCTCAAACTTTGCGATGTACAGTGATGGCCGCGTAGATACCACCGTCAAAATAAATATTACAGTTCACGATTAAGGATATAGAGGAACTCGCTCTAAGGACGTTTCTCCTTTGAAATTTAGATAATGCTTCTCTTTATCATACCGCTGTTTTACTTGCGAGGACTCCTTTTCGTGCCAGCCCCAGTGCTGACCTGAAGACCAACTCCGGCTTCATGACGTAAGATAAAATGTCTAAGAGATGTTTTTCACTTGTTATCCATTAGCCTAGTTGTCATTGTCATCTAAGATGTAAATCGACTGTTGAATAAATCTAGCTTACAAATTTGCCCATTATATCCTGATGAAGCTATGTCTAATACTTCTAATACTTCAGTTTACTAATAAAACTGTAAACTTGATACTCTGCCACCAAGCTATCCAGATCCATTATCAAATGCAGGAGTTTTCTATTTAGACATTTGTCTTACATTCGTAGATACGGTCGTTTCATATTTGTTTAAAATTACGTGCACTTTTGAGAATCTATAAGACCGAAGACAAATTCATACCTGACTTACCCACCTAAAATCTTGCTGCTAAGATGCGTTCGTTGATGTACTAAGCGACAATAATAAATCTACCATGACTGAACTTACTTATAGAAATAATAGGCTTACTTTGCAATTGGAGAAATCGGTGTTCTTAGCAGTCTGAACTTCAAATATTCAACGCGATCGTATCCGGCCAGGATTTTCACGACATGAACAAAATGACGCAAGTACTTAGATTTGCGCCCCACTGCATTTCTTCAAAAAGTTAACAGTAGTGATACACTTATCATTTTTGTTTTTGTCTTTGAGAGCGATGTGTTTTCATCATGCAACTTAGTGGTCTTTTGTCCAAATAAATCCTTAAATGAACAAACCAAGCTAGATGAAGTAAAGAAAAAAAACATTTATAAGAGAGTTGTTAATGTTTGTAGCTAGCCGAAATGTTCCAAAACGACACACTTTATAATTGACCAACTTTCATTCTTTTCCATGTTTTTCTTTGTTAATTTGATGTCAACTGAAATACCGAGATATGTCCACAGTGGGACTTAGTTCGATTACATACTCATGATTTCTGATCTTATTTAGTTGTGATGGGTTCTCGTTTTTTCGTTATTTTTTGTCTTGATTTTCTCATTGTTCCTCCTTTGCTAATTTCTTGTTGGTTTTGGAGTAATGTGATAACTTGAAGCGATTTATATTGGTGCCACGTTTATCCATTCCTGTCTGTAGAAGTAGCAATGTTTTATAATGTCTAAGAACAACAATATAATAAATTGAATCGCAGATCAGCTTCAGTCATATATATGTTGCTGCAATTTAAGCGACGAAGAAAACGGTAACCGACGTCAAAAAGGCTAGGCTATAGATAACAGCTACATCTCTTACCGGTAAAACTCAAATACTCTTCATGAAATCACAAATAATGTAATAGTACACACTGTCGCCACATTTGTTATGGATTATTACTCACTGACAATAAAGAAAACACTGTAATCCTTGAGTAATTGAAAGTCTGTACAGTTTGAAACAATTCTTCATGGGGCTGGTTCTCTTGGAAGGTGATATAACTACCGGTTCAATGCTCTTTGTTCACTTATTGCTATTTAAGTGGATATGTAGTCAATGAATTCAGCGAATTAATGGAATTAACGTGATGTACCTTCGTTTTACGACCTTTATTAAAACTAAAGTTAGTCAATTTGTTCTATGGTTATTTAACATCAAACCTAATGTTCAGAGATCAAATTTATCACAGTATTGTAGAAACCATTATTCTCAAATAGTATTTACGTGCGTATTAAGTGACTTTACTTTACATTTTTGCCTTTTGATTGTTTGATTTCCACACATTTTATATGATAAATAACAGAAAGTTCTCTATCTTGATTGAAAATGATGTTTTAAATGGTTGTTTGCATTTTTCGAAATTGTTTTTCTGATTTACTTAGATCGATATGATGGACGACTCAGAAACCTACAAATTATGGAGGATTCGTAAAACCATTCTCAAGGTAATTTCACCGGTCAGGCGTTCTGATCAATCTTCACTTAGATGTGCAAAGATAGGGGTTATCTAGTAATGCCTAAAGAATTGGAGCAATCACTCGAAGATTTCAAAGCAACAGTCGGAGATCCACCAACGAGAAAGGATCTTCTCATGGTTGTTAACCATGAAGAAGATCCTGCTGATATGTTATATGTGTTCTTTCCAGAAGAAGAAAAAGTTAACATGAAAACTGTCCGGGCATATTTGAATCAAATGCAACAAGATAGTACTTACAGAGCAATTTTGGTCCTTCAAGAAAAGGGTCTCACACCTTCTGCAAAGACAGTTTGTTCTCTATTCTACTAAGTTTATTTATACATATGTAGGCTATCGCGGAACTTTCGTGTAAATACACTTTGGAGTGTTTCTTTGAAAATGAACTAATGGTCAATATAACGGAACATCAGTTGGTTCCGCAACACAACGTTCTCACACAGGAAGAAAAGAAAGAATTGCTCGAACGATAGTAATTTGGTACTTTTTATAATTCAATGAGAACTTAGTAGGTTAAAGGAAAATCAGCTTCCCAAAATGCAAGCTAGCGATCCTGTTGCTCGATATTATGGTCTAAGAAGAGGTCAAGTTGTACGAATTACTCGGCCATCAGAAACAGCCGGACGATATATCACTTATAGGATAGTTTTGTGAATAAAATTGTGTACAGATTCTGAGTTTTTGAAATTGTATTTTGGGTCTAAAGTCATACGTACTAGATTATTTCAAATTTATTAATTCATTGCTGCTTTTATTATGTTGTATTAAACAAACAGTCATTGTTTAAATGATCGTTAGTCTGAAAAACTTTTAAAGTTTTTAAAACTGATCCAGCTACAGATGTTACTCACTGAAGCTAAAAGAACCTTTCAAGTAATTTGTACTATATTTAATAACTCTGACAGTTCGCTATACAAGTTGTGTTATGGTGGACAAAATTGAATAATCATGCGACTTTTTCATTTAATTTCCGTTCTTCACCTTGATTACCCGTTTGTTAACTGAAAATTTACTCATAGTCATGTTACCTTATTGGGATATTTTGTGTACAGCTAATAACTGTAATACCTTAGTATATATATTCACATAGCGAGTGAGCAATAATAGTTCGTTCTGCAGATATCTATATGGTTGTTGCTCGAGCTTCCGTCTTGTCAGCAAACTGTCAATTCTGTTATTTTATTTCAGTATTTAACTAAATTTACTTGGACGATGGCTTAGTGTACTACATGCTTATAAGCTTTAGGAAATCGGCATGAAATCCTCGACCCCTAGGTCATATATAGGTTGGCTCTCTTCTAAATGTACCTGTATCCTGACAAGGCTTTTGTCTTCTGCTAGATACAAACATCATTATTAGAAAAGTTACCACTGTACAGAAAATTCTATCTCCTTTAAACACTAGTATCAAGCTAAACATACCCTCAAAATATTAGCCTTAAAATTACAAACAGGAATTCTGGATAAAAGTTCATTCAGCACTATTGATCAATTAACCTGACCTTTCAATATTTAATTAGACAAAATGTTTTCTATTAACTGCCAAAGAATTACTGATGTAAACAAGAATCTGAATTACTAAAACCATATATCCCTTATTAGGCTCTCCATGGCTAACCATAACATGTTTCATACTCGAATGTATACGAAACGGCATATATGAAGAACGATTGCCGGGTAGAGATTTACTTCACAATCAAAGTGAGATGATTCTGTCTCGATATACGAAGTTCTTTTGGTGGTACATACTATACTAATCAAATAGTAACATATAATAATGAGAAGAATTTTAAAATACGATAAGAAAGAAAATATTATCACTGCATACGTGTGTCTGTTTATACACACAAGAGAAATCGATACTAATAAGATGAAACAACAAAAAGTTCTAGACAGAACATGATTTTATATTTAGTATACAGCCAGTAGTGGAATCAAGGATGCAAGTTACGTTCTATTCGTAGATGGTCATCTGAATGTAACCTGATCTTAGTGTCTGATGCTGGTGAGTCATAATGTAGGATGAAACGCACATCCTCGATTCGTGTGACGTACGACTAGAAATGTATCAAGGCAATGAATAATCCTGAACGCTAACAACGGAAAACTCATTAATAGGACATGACTTTAATGATCTAGTGACATAATGGATGAAAATTTTCGGTGATTGTTGTGTATGTATCAGTGTTATGTTTGGATGAAGAAATTCAAGAAATATATTTATTGAGATGTATGTACGGGAAACTGATAAATCTTGGTAAATAAAATAAAATAAGCATTTTTAGCCACAGCAAGAAACTATTCCCAAATATATAGACTTCAACACAAACATAGAATGGTATAAGTCGAATTTCACGATTTTATCATGTGGTTAGTTTTAAAACGATAAATATCTGTAACGATGATTCGTTTTGTAACATCTTTTTTTTCGATACTTGTTCATGTACGTATTTTAAACCATCATCATTGTCTTTACACTTTAGTAGGTCATAATGATGTAAGTTTGTGACTGGGGCAAGTCGGCAGAGATTTCTGGACCTTAATTTCATGCTAGTTGGGATTCATCAAACTGATATATACCTTCAGTATAGAGTAGACTGATGCTCCCTGTGAGATTCGAAACCATTTAAACTAGTGTGCTATAACCAGAGATACCACTGCAGTGAACAGAACACGGGTAGGGACAACCGAATGTATTTAACACAAACTTACAGGACTTGCTAATAAAATCTAACAATCATAAAGTAAATGCTCAATTTGCAAAATGTCCATCGATTGTCTCAAAATGACTCAGACTTCATTGTTATTGCACTTTCATACAAATTGCATTTTGTTTCCATTCTTTGCCGTTCGATTATCTTGTCTCTCTGCTTCCAGACCTGTTTACGATTAACATTATATACTACTTATGTCAATATAAGTAGCACCAAGGTATTTAACCTATTATCAATCACTTGTAAGACTAAAATGCTTGCTCTAGTTTCTTAGCTTTCATAGATTCTCTCGGTGTAGTTGTGAAATGATTGCTAGTCTAATTATGGCTAGATCTAGTAAGGATTACACGTTTTGATGAAAATTAGTGGTTGAAAGCAATCGGTAGGAAGTTCTGCACTTGTGATTATAATAATGGTAACGTCAAATAACTTCGTATACTTTATACTCAGTGTGATGTATTAATCAATAAATATGTTTTTGATAGGTAATCCAACGAACAAAGTAACAGTTTTACAAATGTGCAGTTCTTTTAAAACAAAGAAAAGTAAATGAGATCAATGTGTTATGCTCTTTTTATTGAGTAATAACAAAATAACATATAAATTTTATGTATTCTATATATGGAAGTACGACTAAAGTGTTCTGTTAGTATGTGTAGGTGAGCATGATTAATAGCAGTTGAATTTATATTTCTTAGTAAATGAATTAACATACGACAAACTGAAGTCGGACATGAAAGATACTGGTATAATAACAAACGTCGAACACAATGTTATTGACCTAGTTAAACCGGGACACATTATTTCACATTCCTCACTTCATTCGACTTTCAAACTCGTGTATGTTATATTCTCATGAAATATCGGCATCACTGAATGAATGCCATGCTTCCTACTTCGTTGACTCGATAGATTACAACTCCTTTACAATAAAACATCCCGATATTCATCAAGGAACTTAGTCATTCAGTTAAGTATGCAACTGTGGAATTATCAGGCTATTCTTTGCAGGTTAAAACAATTAATTTTGAAGGGTTCGTCAAGAAAAAGAGGTATTCAATGGGTTGTCGAATCAGAAATACATGGACTGCATAATCTGTAGAGACCACTTGTACATTTGGAACATAATAAAAACCTAATGAAATTTGCGATCCTACCACGAGTGGCATCTCAGATTTATACAAGTCCTTTTGTGAACAAACATAAAATTCAATATGTATATGACTTGCATGGGTCACTATAATAATATTGGTTATTCTGTATACATCCATATATGATTGATTATTACCTTTCATCTATGTACATTTTCTGCATGCATATCTATATTTCTATATATCATGATAAATGTGTAGTTCTATGTAAACAGTGATATAAAACGTATTGAAGTATGGTTTTACAGACACATTCCGTGGTTGGGTTTTAAGTACCACCATTTTATAAATGAGGCCAGCCGAAATACTATGTACACCAAGTTGATAGGGTCAGTATTTCACTTGTCGTCATCAATATTATCAAGAATCGAGTCAAAAGGTGATAAAAAATTTCTTCCACTGATGAGTATTATTAGTAAACTCTTACACTACCGGTAACACACAAAGTAAGCAGGTTGTAAACACGTAATTAGTGATAAAGAACCTTTAGAAAAGAAAAGTAACGAGTACAAGGTATTAAAGAGAAAGTCTACATGATTAATGCTTAGGTTAGGGTCCACTAAGATGCTACTGCTGTGTCAAAATAGGCATACAGAAAAAGCGAACTTTTCGGATGACCCCATCCGAAATTATTGTCTATATTTTTGTCAAATAATTATTATATATTTAAACGATTATAGTCTAGTATCCTCCTACTTGCAAGTTTTTGTTTAACATAGAAATAGTTGTTGTGTGTTCTACCTTTACTGAATTATTGTTACACGTCTATCATCCAGTCCTCTTCCATTTTTGTCGTAGTTATGCCCATGTTTTAATTCCTTAGTTCCGTTGATGTGTTGTTAGGATTGTGCTATATATCAATATGAGTGATTCATAAATTCATACTGGATAGTTAGAAGTTATCTTCTTGCTGAATTGACCTCTATCTTGAATATCGGGTGAATAAACGGGAGAGCGTAGGACACTATTCTGGCTGATAGTCAATTAGCGCTACTGTTATCTCACATGTAACGTGTCATTGCTAGTAGATAAACAGCCTTGGTGACTTAATCGATACTGTGACTAGATCAGTACTATAGCTTTCCTATCTTACAGTTCAATCTCATGGGGTGAAGTAACTTAACAAGAAAATTTATTCTTTTTTACCGATAACTTGATTCATAATATCAAAACAGTATTGACTGGTCACAACATATTAACACCGATATCGATTCGAAGATAATCGAGACCAGTCACTGGCATCAAATAACGTTGAAAACGTAAACCACAACCCCAACGAAGTAGCTCAAGTGTAACAGCCAAGAGTCTGTGGTCATATTTCCTGGAATGTCATGGTGTATATTTTTGAATAATTCTAAAGAACTAGGACGATACAGGTAATCAATGATTCTTCCGAAGTTCTTGGGTTTGTTTCCGTTAGGGTTTAGAGTCTTTAATGCTTTGGATCCTCACACTAGGAAAACACAGCTGTCCAGTGCTTTCGGGTTTATAATGGTTATCCGACTATAATCTAAACAGTGAAGTCAGAAAAGTCGAATCTATTTTGTACCCTGCTGCTCAGAATCTCGATACTTGAGATTAGTTATGCTACTTGCTATTATTCAGTAGTTTCGCTCACATTCAGTCATTTTTGGAACTTGCAGAGCATTGCATTCTCGTATAGTAATCAACTGTTAGCTTCTTCCTCTCCTGTATCTTCTCAAAATTTTTGTTTCCCAGCTTTTTATGCAAAATTTCGAAAAATCCAACTGAATTCATATACGCATGCTACCATTCATAGAGGAGCACAAGCCGCCCACTAGGATTCTCTATCCAACTCCCTCCTGGGCAATCCTTTCCAGTCATTCATTCTTTTGATGCAGTTTGACATTTTCACAATGTATGTACTATCATCTCCAGAGTCTTTTCCCAATTTCCTCTTCAGCTAAAAGTTGGCTTGTTCTCTCCCACCGTAGGTTGTTACTGACAGTATCCGTCGAATGGACATTGAGTATCCTGCGTAGACAATTGTTTAGAAATACATGTACCTTTATGATGATAGTTTCAGTAATTCTCCAAGTTTCAGCTCCGTACAGTAGAACTATCTTGACGTTAGTATTGAGGATTCTGACTATGATGTTGGCTGACAGTTGTTTTGAGTTCCATATGTTCTTCAGTTGTGGGAATGATGCCCTTGCTTTGACAATCTGTGCCCTCACATCAGCATCAGATCCTCTTGCCCGGGTACCTGAAAGTT